GGCTCCCTCCTCCCACCGCAGTCCGCCCTTCTCATCCTCCCTCCTGTCTCCTTTCTCCCTCTCTCCCTCCCTCAATCCCTCCCTCCCTCAATCCCTCCATGTGCTCTATCTCCCCCGTCTCCTGGTCCTGTGTCTCCCTCTCCTCCGATCTCCCTCCTGCTCGCCCTCTCCTCCTCCATCTTCCCTCCTCCCCCGTCAAGCCCCAGCCCTCGCCCGACTTGCTTCCCAGCCTATCTTCCGCGAGGACCAGCTGCCTGAACAACAACGCGTGATGAGTCGAGGGAGAGGGCGGGACCTGGAGCATCGGGGAGTGTATGTGTAGTATTTGGATCTCAGAATAAAGACACTTGGAGGGGACGAGGGGAAGCTGGGATGTAGTGACAAGCTCGCGCACCTCGTAGGATCACTCAATCATGCTGCATGAGTCATGTGCATGACTAGCGATGCCGTAGACGACCTGAGGCGAGTCAACAGCTGAACCTCATTATGAGGGGCCGGGCGAGAAGGATCCTGCTCATCCTACCTGAACGAGCTCTTGTGCCCTGAGTTGGTTCAGCTGATCGTTCTGCTAGGGCTCGCAGATGACGTCAAGCCTCAGCTTCGTTTTCTCAAATATCCCACGTGTAGCTGGAAATAAGGCAGGGATGAAGCGAGTGCGTCGCCTTCCATTGTCACACGTTGTCTATCTCAGGCAGCACTGCACTGCTTGATGACTTGAGTGAATATTCTTTTCACTTAGCAGTAGTATTCTATGCCAAAGTACTGCAGACATCTTCAGCTGACCCTGCAACAACAAGAAAAGAAGTTGAGGAGCACGAGAGATAGAACCGTGCACTGGCCTAGTAGGATTGTGATTCCAAGCATGCAGACATAGTATGAAAGGTTGAATGACTGAAATGGAAAACGAAGCAAACGAAGTAGGAAAAAGAAGGAAGAGGCAGCGAAAACCGCTACTCCAACCACGCGAGCGGCTTCATGCACGAGAAGCAGGGGAACAAGGATCGGGACAACGAGCAGTAGCGCGAGACGGCAAGACCCATGCGAGCTCGATACTGCCGAAACAGCGAGCTAGTACTACTGCATACACGAGTTGAAACAGCGAGCTAGTACTACTGCATACACGAGTTGAAACAGCGAGCTAGTACTACTGCATACACAAGTTGAAACAGCGAGCTAGTACTACTGCATACACGAGTTGAAACAGCGAGCTAGTACTACTGCATACACGAGTTGAAACAGCGAGCTAGTACTACTGCATACACGAGTTGAAACAGCGAGCTAGTACTACTGCATACACGAGTTGAAACAGCGAGCTAGTACTACTGCATACACGAGTTGAAACAGCGAGCTAGTACTACTGCATACACGAGTTGAAACAGCGAGCTAGTACTACTGCATACACGAGTTGAACACGCTAGCTAGTACTACTGCATACACGAGTTGAAACAGCGAGCTAGTACTACTGCATACACGAGTTGAAGCTTCAACTGACAACCGAGATCCGTGGAATTGAGCACCAGGATCTTGCTCCTCTTCCCAGCCTCTGCTTACCCTCCTCTCCCCATGTGCTCTATCTCCCCCGTCTCCTGGTCCCGCGTCTCCCTCTCCTCTGACCTCCCCCCTGCCCGCCCTCTCCTCCGATCCTCCCGAGCCCTTTGCTCTGTCAAGCCCAAGTCGCCCGAACTCCTTCCCAGCAAGTCCTCCGTCAGGACATGCCTGGACAACATTCTGGCCGCCAGGGTCAAGCTCCAGCTCGCGGACCAGGCGTGGAGGAAACGGACGGCGGGGGGGGGGGAGAGTATAGGGACAGAGAGAATAAAGATCCGTACAGGACGGAGGGAAGTGACATGGAAGCATTGGATGGGACGGGAGGAAGGGAAGAGATCCACAAGGGTTCTATGTCAGTGTGAACGTCGGAAGATGATGAGATGGGCTTGGGAGGGGCGGGGTGGGGGGTGGGGGGCAGTTCTATGTGGATATACACGGGAATCGTGTCTGTGTGAATGATGCTTGTCACGGTATCAGGTTGTTTGGTTGTTTGAAGCAGACAAGCCATGTAAGCCTACAATGCAAGGGAGGTGCAAATCTAGAACAGATCAAGTGAAGCAAGTGTTTGCGTTGAAGTTGATTCCAGGACTTTAGTTTGATACTGTAGTCTCGCACGTTCAAGTCGGTTGCATCGAGCGAAGAAGTTGTAGCACACGCTGAGGCGAACCCGGTGAAGACGCACCTGTTTCCGGTATACCACAGGGGTTTAGTGTTTGACCGTCGCAAGTCAAAGTTCATTGTGCCACAATTCAAAGTCTTTTTGAGATTAGTACAAACTTGAAACATTGAAGGACTAAAACAAGAGTCAATGGAAACGTGATAAAGATGATCGGATCGGACCAGGTTGATGGCTGCTGTCATCTGTCTAGGTTCTTCGCTCAGCATGAGCTCATCCTCCAGGCCCCTGACAAAAGCCATCGGACTCAAAAGCACCAAACAAAACATCACCATGGGATGAAGTCCTCCTCCTTCTCGTCAAAGACATAGCAGAAAGCATTCCCAGGCCCCGCACAGGTGTCATGATGGCTGCACACCCACACCTCGTATCTATCCACCACCATCCACCTCCCGAGTCCCCCCGTCGTGATGGTGTGGTTCGTCGCGAGCTCACTGTCCATGATCTCTGGCCAGGAGTGCTGTATCCGGCAGCGGAGGTAGTCCGGGTGCAGAGTCCAGGTTCGCGGTGGTAGGCCTGTTGGTGTCGTGGTTGGGATCTCGGGTAATGCTGGGCTTGTAGTTGAGATCTCTGGTGATGCTGAAGCTGTAGTTGGGAAGTCTTGTATCATTGAAGTCGAAAACGATTCCCCTTCTTTTGATGACGAGGATGATGTTGGCATTGTGGTTGGGTTGAAGGTGTTTGCGATGGAGTTGATGCCCCCGCTGTTGTTGCAATGGGTTTCGTTGAGGCACGGTTCAAGGTTCGCGTCCAATTGAGCAAAGCTTGGCCAGGATGGATGATAGCACGGTAGATTGTTGCTTGTCAGGCCTAAATACCTCAGCGAAGACAAACCAGTGAAAGCCTGGGAGGAAATGCAGGAAAGCTTGTTTCTGTCAAGATATAGAGACTCCAAGCTCTCGAGCCCGTCGAAGATCCCTGCAAGGAGGCTCTCCACGTTGTTGTTGTCAAGATTTAGATGCTGCAAGTTTGAGAGCCCGTCGAAGATCCCTGCAGGCAGACTCTCCAGGTTGTTGTTGTCAAGATTTAGATCGTACAATTTTGAGAGCCCGTTGAAGATTTCTGGAGGCAGACTCTTAAGGTGGTTGTACTGAAGATTTAGAGCAAACAAACTTGACAGTCTGTCGAAGATATCTTCAGGAAGACTCTCCAGGTTGTTGTTGTCAAGAGATAGGAGGTACAATTGCGAGAGCCCGTTGAAGATATCTACAGGCAGACTCTGAATATTGTTGTTGGAAAGTTGTAGATAAACCAGTTTCGAGGTCTTACCGAAGATCCCTGCAGGCAGACTCTGAATGTTGTTGTTGGAAAGAACTATATTGCTCAATTTTGAAAGCCCGTCGAAGATCCCTGCAGGCAGACTCTCCAGCTTGTTTAAGGAAAGTTGTAGCCACTGCAAGCTCGAGAGCCCGTCGAATATCCCTGCAGGCAGACTCTCCAGGTTGTCTTTGTCAAGATATAGCCTCCCCAAGCTCGAGAGCCCGTCGAAGATCCCTGCAGGCAGGCTGTCCAGGTTGTTGTATTGAAGATATAGATTCTGCAAGCTCGAGAGCCCTTCAAAGGTCCCACTCGTTATGTTCTGAATGTTGCGGGAGTTCAAATTCAATGTGTCAGTACAGCTATTCCCACAGCTCCCTTCCCTCGACAACAAACCCTCGTCCGAGATACGAAACGTGCAGCCTCCACAAACCACACTGCTTGCCGCCTCGGCCTTAGGACATATCCACGCCCCTAGTACAGCCCAAAGCACACACGCACACAGCATCCTCCTCATGCTCCCTCCTTCACTCCGCATCCATCCCCAGCAGGCAACTACCGGTACTTTAGAGAACGCCCGTGGTACAAAAGCTACCAAATTAGAGGGTTATGGGAGCAATCGAGTTTCCTTCTAAAATCAGTCAATAGTTTGTACCATGACCTTAACTTTTAGAGTTTTATTCTTTTTTTATTCATTGGTGGAAGTGTTCGATTAGTGATGCTACAAGGCCAAGTGCAAGCAGGATGAAGAACAACGTAATACGCACGAGGTGTTGCACAGTCCAATTACATTAATTACAAAGAGCACAGCAACAAAGCTATGATGCACATTACAAACCATCACATGACTTCCCGCACGAGGCGGTACTCCCATTCGTGTTGCTGAATCTCGCCAATCATGTGTCGAGGTGAAGACAATGATTGATCTCCAACTCTATGCCTCATGTTTGAAGGTCTTGACATTCCTGAGCTGTTGAGGCATCAATCCTCTTGTCTCACGACCTGGCGGCAGCTCCAGCTCGCGCGCCAGGCGCAGGGGCAGGGGCAGGGGCAGGGGCAGGGGCAGGGGCAGGGGCAGGGGCAGGGGCAGGAGGAGGAGGTGAGTGGGAGGGAAGGTTGAGGAGATTGTTGGAAGAGACTTCAAGGCATCTCGGCCGATCACTCGTACGATATCAAAGTCTGTTGACTTGAACCGCTCGTTGCTCCAAATTTACTTGGAATCTGCAAATCATTGCGATCAGCCGTTGGGGAGATCTGATCGCCTGTCTCAGAGTGCAGTGTGAAGTGTTCATCTGCCACGTCAGTTAGCAAGACGTTCTCGTATCAGTAGGTCGACAACCGTGATGTGTGTTCT